CAATAAAACCAAAAACTGCATCTTGAAAAATACGATCGGGATTCTTCATTCGAATTTGACTTGGTTTCAAAAGTTCATAAAAAAACTCTCGCTCCCAACAGCATATCTACCCTTTCTGGAACATTAAATCCTTCATCTGCTAATTTTAAATTAGGAAGATCTTGCACTGAAATTTTAATTTTGCGCGAAGGTGTTAAATCAGCAGTTATTTTTGGAATTACTAAAAAGTCCAAATTCTTTATAAAAGTTCCTTCTTTATCTTTTCTTTTGCATATCGAAGCATTATTTTTATGCTTTATTGTCAAAATAGCATCATTTATTCCCGAAACCGAAATGTTTGTTTTTTCTTTCTCTAACTGAAAATGCTCAATAAAATTAGGTGTCAAAAAGTTAAACATACTGCTGCCATCCAGCAGACACTTTACTCTGTGTTTTCTTCCCTCGTTATCAATTAAAAAACATAAGACCCAATTAAAAAACATACCAAAACTGTAGTTTGTTTATTTGAATAATTGCTAAGAAATGTCTTTTGAATGAACTCCTGCGTATTAACATTCAAGATCGATGAGTCATCTCATTTGGGAATGTTGCAGTCAGACACATTTGTTTTGTTTTTATTTTGTTCCGATGAAGAACATTCTTTCTCCTTTACGATATTTGCTTTGGGAAAATAAATAGTTTTGTGGTGCTGTTTTTGATTAAAACAAGAATATTTCAATGGGCAATTTGATGCTGAATGAATATGTAGACAATTAAAACATAATTTGTTAGATTTCACAACCTGTATTCACTAAATAATAATCCCAGGTGGTTAACTGCACATGAGTTTCGTGTAGTTGTTTAACAGTTTTTCTAAAGTTTTCTAAACACGAATATGGTGTTGGCTGAAACACTTTCAGAACTACTTCTTTTTCATAATTCGTGATATCCTTATTATATAAATAGATTATTATATTCGAAGCTTTGTCTCCGAACAGATTTAACAGAATTTCTGCTTTATAGTCCTCTGAAACATTTTTTGCAATAAACGCTCGTTCTAATGACGAAAAGAAAAATCCTTAACTCTCAGGCCGTATAGGAATATTTACAGTTAAGGTCCTGATGCTTTTTATTAATTGATCTAGTGACTCATGATTTTGTTTCGGTTTCGCTTATGCCATCAAGTTTTGTTTCTGCTTTAAGCTTGGCCAAATGTAACTCATTCTTTGATCTCTCAATTTTATTTGTTCTAACTCTAGAAATTTTTGCTGTTTTTGCTCTTCTTGTTTCCTATTTTCAATAATAGAGTTTGCTATCTTTTTTACTAAATCTTGTTTAGTTTTAAAGTTTTCACTATTCTCAATAATATCTGTTAAATCTGATATAGTCATTTTTTCATCAACATTTAGATTTATTTTTAAGGCAATAAGCCTTAAATCTTCTTTTTTAGCACCCTTAAATAATATTGTTATTTATAACAGAACAAAGCATAGAATGTACAGAATTAACGAGAGAAGAATCACTTACCTCTGCACTGATTCACTTTTGATGAATATCCTTATCCAAAATCATCGATATTTGTTGAAAAGAACAAGCTGAGAATACTGGTAAACACAAACACCCCTGCATTCTCAAAAACAAAACACTATGTATACACGCACAAAACTCAATCTCCAGCCGACTACGACCAGATATGTTTGGGTCTCATCCTAAATAACACACGCTATAATAAATTTGCTGGTTCGGTTCTTTATTAATTCTCATAATTAAATTACAATCGCTCATTAATTCGTAGCTGTGACCAGCCCTCGTACAACGTCGAAGGCAGTTCTCAAACTCGTCTTATCATAACATTACAGATGCGCATGCACGGATTACATTACAGGTGCACAGGCGCGAACAAGGTGTTTTTTATTTCAGTTTGGCTTTCAATTATTGATTTAGAATGTTCGGAGAAGTATTTGAAGTATTTTGATTGACGAACTGGTCAGAACTAGCTTGGAAATATCTTATTTATGTTCAGCAGTCTTTGCTCATAATTTTCTGGACATTACACCAATATACTGGGTTTCTGTGCTTATATCTTTGCCATGATAGTAGTATATGTACCTGAAGTATCTGTTGTAGCAACGTTAGATTTGTCTGATTAACAATTTCCAGGCAGGTGGGGCTGGTGTAATAGCAGTAACAGCAAGTTTATAACCAAATCGTTTAAACATGAAGCAGGTGCATGGAATGGTTAAGATGTAAGGAAAAGTTCCAATAAATTCACTGTTGTTTTCTGCTTGCATCAGTAACAACTTTACTTTCTAGAATAGGTATTGATTTTCTTGGCCAAGTTTTCCACGAAAGCAAGAGGATATCTATTGTTTCCAGCTATCTATAAGTATATAATTACATTAAATATATTTTTATAATATAATTAATTGAACATGAAACCTTAATTATTATAATATAATTAATTAAACATAAGCCACATTTAAAATTAAAAGGCAGCTGTTTCATGTGGATTAAAAAAAAAAAGGAATCAGGATTATGCTTGGTCGTCAGTTGGTTTGTCATAGATTGTAGTCTGAAAAGAATTGGCTCTTCATAAAATTAAAAGGTCAAGAAAGTGAATACTGTTATTGATTTCTATTAATCGTAAATTGTAAGTCTGAGAAATTATTTGAAATAAAGGAAAACAGATCTTTTTCTTCTGAATGTTTCCATAGAATGAAAATATCATCTCCATACCTCTTCCAAAAAATAGGTTTGGGGGTGGGGAACTTGGAGGGAAAAAAAATTTCTGCATATTTCATGTAGATTTCAATCAATATAGGTGACAGTCCATAAAGCCATCTTGCTGTTTCTAGGTTTCTTCATTGGCTCTAAACACTGTAAACTTATGTTGTGATGTGAAAAGCTTCATAAATATTTGTAATAAATTTGGATGTAATTCTAAGTTTTCCAATCAAGGTTTTTGCCAAAAGCATTTGAAATGCAAATAAAGGAACAGAAACAAACAAGAATTTGATAGTAAACATGGTAACATCAGGATCAATTGCTTTTGGAGTTTGCTCACAAAATTCACTTCTAGAGTGTGCATTTGATATACTAAAATCATACATTTGATATATGAAAATGGAGCAAAGTTGTGCAAGCCTGTGTTTCAAATTTATTAGGTAGTGAAAGTCTGCTGTTAACAAATGTTTGGCTGCATAATTTTATTTATGAGTTTTAATCTGTATGAAAAGTTTTTAATTTACCAAAATCAGGATCAAGTTTGATATTGCCAAAGTAGTATTATATGTCAGGATATTCAGCTGCATTGTATAGTTCCAAAATGTGTTACGTAGTTTTTTTTATCTTATTGCTTATTTTATCTTATTTTTATCTTATTCCATGTGCGCTATCAAGTTCATCAGTCAGCAATCAGTTATTTTATAACGTCTTGCAAGATATCTCTTATGATTATAAATGCTTACCCATATTTTAACAATTAAGAAATAATTTAATTTCTATTTGAAACATGCCAAGGATTTCTATTTAATTAAATTTTATAAGTAATTTATTTAATTATGTACTGCATACTGCTGGAAACAATAGATATCCTCCCGATTTTGAAGAAAAACTCATCAAGAAAATCAATAAATAAGCTTTTACAGTCATTTCTTAAAAAGTAGAATTGTTACCAATGCAAGCAATATATAATAGTAAATTTATTGAAACTTTTTCTATGACCTCATTACCCCCATGCATCTGTTCCATATTTAAAATATTTGGTTATAAACTTGCCATCACACCAGCTCCATCCAGCTGAAAATTGTTGAGATCAGATACGTCAGACATTACTACAATACATACTTCGGGTGTAGTATATATACTGTCTTGGTTTGCAGCAAAGGTACTCGCACAGAAACCCAATATATTGGGCCCACCAGCGGCCGAGCGGTAAAGTCACTGAACTCTGGTCCGAGGTTCGAATCCTGCGAAGGGGCTGGCTGCGTGGGCATTTTCGTGTTTTTCCCCATGTGTAACGTGTATATAAGCCAGTTTCCCTTAGAAAGCCCTCTACGAAGGCACCCCTTCCCTTAGGCAGATAGCCATAGTGTGCTTTGCCATAATTAAATAAACCAAACCAAACTCAATATATTGGCTCATCATGCAAAAATCTATCAATAAGAATTGCTGAACATAAGAACGATAGCTTCAAGCTCTCTGCCAACCAGTTCATTAATGAAAATAGCTCATATTTAGTCAAATACTTCATTGAGCGATTTCTGTCAATAACTGAAAGGGACAAAGCCAAAATTATAGCCAAATTCCAACATAAAAGCAGTCTTAAAATTAGAGAAGTGATTAGAATCTCCACCAAGCTGTATTGCAACACAGCTTTTCAATCTTCCATATATCTAAACCACAAACCTGAGTACAGCAAACTTTCGGAAATCAGTAAAAGATTTTAAATGTTTTGAATCTATTCATTCCAGCTTCAGCAGATGAGTCATCTGTGAAAACTTCTATGCTTTCATTTTATCTGTGCATGTCATTCTGCCATGTCAACCTGAAATTTTATCTTGTTTTTAACTTTATGTAAGCTAAGTGTTTCAATAGCAGGCACTAATTCATTAGTGGGCATTTTAGATCGAAAATACTAAAGATAAAAACAGAAGACTAACTTTTTCAAACTATGCACTTCGGTGTAAAATATTTTTCACTGGGTCAGTGGCTATCACTCGCACGTTTACTTTATATCTAAGAAGTGATTCTTGAAACTGTACTTATAGAGTATGAAATGTCTGTTTTTTTTTTTTTTTTTTTAATGCAAAATAGTTCAAGCAAATTTTAAAAAAAAAAAAAATTATGCAGACAATCTTACTAATTTTTTCCCACAATGTTATATTTATTGTTTTAAGTTTTTTTTTAATATATTGATTGATAATCCATTTTTAAACTTTAGATGAAGATTTCTGTTTTCTTTTTTGTCTCCCTTCATCTTTAGAAAAATAAATTTCTGTTTGTTTATTTATTTTCCTTAGGATGGTATCTGCCATGACAGAAATGTTTCAAAAACTGCCCAGATTACAGGTTTTGTAAATGTTACAAGCAGTGATGCTGATGCATTAAAGAAAGCCTTGGCAAAGAAAGGTCCCATTTCTGTCAGCATTGATGCAGCTCACAAGGGGTTCTCATTCTATTCCCATGGAGTCTACTATAATCCAGATTGCAGTAAGGAAATGCTTATTATTTGAACTGTTAATATATTTTAAAAAAATTTCTTAGCAATGAACCATAAATTATTTTAATATTAAAATTTATATAAATTTCAAATAAGATCTAGTTTTTTCACTTACACTGCAAATCATCCAAACTCAGCTGAAGTGAGTGCTGGTAGTGAGAGGGTTGATTTGGCTGGCTACATAATCTGCATTCTGATTCATACCAAAGGTGTTCTGTGGAATTGAACACCCATTTCGTGAAACCATGGCTGTGCAAATCTCGATATGTAAATGGAGCAGTTATCCTGCTGAAAGAGAAAGGGCCCTTTCCTGAAATATTGCTATAGAATTGCATGAGCAGCATTGTGCAGAATGTTCACATACATCTCAGAGTTCGTTTTTCCAACCACAAGAACTAAGGAACCGAGGCCAAACCATGAAAAACACTCCCACACCATGATAGTCTGCACGATGCAGTCACTTAACTCCTTCACAGTCAATCTGTGCGACATGGCTTACATTGAGACAACCAGAACCACGCAAAAACGGCCGAGATTGCATTCTTGTTTTCTTCCTTCCCCCTAATGTATGCAGTAGCAGGTGCATTTTCCCCAAGGCTTTGTATCAGTTTACCGCAGGCAGCTTGTCCTAAGAGGTTTTTTATCTTGGGTAGCTCGTTGTTGATACTTTTTTGGTAGAGTGTGCTTTTCATCAAAATGTACAAATATCACAAAGTTTTAACTCAACAAGAAATTGAGGCTATTCTTCTTAATGATACAGATGAGTCAGATTTGGAATCAGACGATGACGATAGGAAATAAATAGAAAATGAAATAAATGATAATGAAGAGGAATCATTTATAGCAGAAGATGAAGATGAGTATAGAATAAATCTAGAAGCAGAGGTTTCAGAAAATTGTAACGAAAATCCAGTAAAAAACCTGGTCTACTAATGTTAATAATGATGCAGTAATTTTGTCCCCATTTAACAGCTTTTCGGGACCAATTCATGATTTACCTGTTGGTGCGTCACCTTTACAATATGTACAGTTGTTTCTTACGGATGAAATTTGTGAATTAATTCTCACAAATACAAATAAATATGCTGAATTCTGTGCAAGAAAGCATGGCACTGTTGATCGTCAAGTGGGAAAAAATTTCATCCATAAAAGAAATATGGGCATTCATTACAGTCCTTCTCATAATGAGTGTTGTAAAATTACCAAGAATAAGTGATTATTGGTCAAATAACGCAATGCTTGGAAATGAAATGGTGAAAAACATGATGAGCAGAAAGAGATTTTTGGAAATCAAGCATTATTTTCATTTGTCTGATAGGGAAACTGAAGTTAAAAGTAGCGAAGAGAACTTAACATATGCACAAAAATTAGAGCCTGTCATTTCATATTTCAGAAATAAATTTCAGCAACATTTTACGCCTTATGCTGAAGTATCAATTGACGAAGCTCTAATTAAATTTAAAGGTAGATTAGGGATCGTGCAATATATGCCTATGAAACCAGCTAAGCGTGGATTAAAGATATGGATGCTCTGCACATCTCGCTTAGGATATACTTACAACTTTGAACTTTATTGTGGTAAAAAAGATCAGATACCAAGGTCAGGAAAGGGTTTAGGATATGACGTAGTTATGCACTTAATAAAAGCACTTAAAAACAAAGGCCATGAAATCTATTTTGACAGATTTTTTCCCAGCGTAGACTTGATGTCTAAGTTATATAAATCTGGACGATTATCATGTGGAACTGTGATGACAAATCGGAAAAACATACCTGAGAACATCAAGCAAATGAAGCTGGGAAATCAATACGACAGCTTAGTTATGCAATGCAAAAGCCTGCCGAATTTACTTTATTCATCCTGGCCTGATAAAAAATTGATACGTATCATTTCCACAAACTGTAAAAATGAACCATGAAGAAAAAGGCTACAAAAAGAAAAGGCTCTGAAAAAGTATAGTACCATGTCCACTCACATTTGTCAAGTACAATAAGAATATGAGAGGTGTAGATCTAGCATATCAGCGTCGAAAGTATTACTCAGCTTCTAGAAAATCCTCGAAATGGTGGATGTACATATTTTGGTTCCTTTTAGACACAGCAGTGAATAATGCTTTTATACTTTGTAGAGTCATTAACTATCCAATCCTAAAGCGACCAAAGCAGCTATATTACTTCCAGAGTTGCCAACTTTCCCGATTTAGGTGGGAGACTCCCGATTTTCAACCACTCCCCCACCAACCCAATTTACAATATATTTCTCCCGACTTTTTCTTATTCTTAAAATTTCTCACGATTTTTATGGAACTTGGCTTAATACTTCGTTATATGAACAAAAAAAAAAGTGATTTTGGACGTCTGAAAGCAATTGAATTTTATCTAGATTATATCTAAAACAAAACCTTGCGAATCAGATGAGAATTTCTGCTTTGTGAGTGAGAGCATATGTATCCAGAAACGTCGTTCTCCAGTTCTCCAATGGGCATCCAGCTCCACTGCGTGTCATCTGGCATATATCGGCCAATGAGCACAAAGCAAGCTCGAAGCTGTTAGTTGTATGTTCTTTAGTTATTTTGTTCATCTTGTCCTGAGTTGTGCGAGTACATGTGCCTTCGGGAAATAGTTTTAGAAATTATCGTCTTTTGTTATGTCTGTGAGAAAGGTGAAATACTCATGTACGTTTCAAAAATCATACACAGTTGACTTTCCTTCCATTATTTTCTCAAGGAAATGTAATAAATTTGCGATGTGTACTGTGTCGTTGCGATTTTTCGATTTCGCATGGTGGAAGGGAGGATGTTCTCAAACATGTGCACAAAAGCACAAAGACAACATGAGTTGTTTTGAAAAAAAACGAAAAATTAAATTTTTCTCTTCGAAACAAAGGACCAAAAAGTTATTAATGCAGAATGTCTGTTCTCCTGCCTTTTTACTGGAGCACAATCCTGCCACTGAATGCATCGGATCACGCTGCAGTTTTTATTTAGAAAAATGTTTCCCGATAGTGAAATCGCTAAGAAATACTCAAGTGCAAGAACCAAAACAGGTGCAATTGTTAAAGAAATGGGTTTGAAAAATAAATCTTCAGTTATTGATTGCATTAAAACATCTCCGTTCTGCCTCTCTACTACGGATGGAAGCAATAATACCGATTCAAAACTGTATCCAATTGTTGTTTCTTTTTTTAATCCAGTCTTCAGAAATTGACTGAAGTTTACTTTCTGTCCCCACTTTAGAAGGACATTCGACAGGCTTTAATATAGCACAACTAATTATTAAAACTTTAAAAGAAAATGCAGTCCCTCTGTGGATAATTTGCTTAGCACTTGGTGCCGATAATGCACTAGTAATAATAGGCTTGGAGACTTGTTGCAGGCATCTTAAAAAAGGAAAATTCAGATTTGCAGATTATGAGGTGCACCTGTCACTTCTTAAATTTAGCAGCTGAAAAAGGGGCAGCTTCTTTACCAATAAATGTGGATAAACATATTGATAATCTTACATATCTTAAAAGGAGTTCTAAAAGGAAGGAAAAATTGAAACAGTTCCAACAGCTGCATAACTAATATTAAGTGATGACACATTAGAAAAACTTTTATTAGTGAAAGCAGGCCTACATGGCAATTGCTATGAACAAAATTATGAAGTTTCTTTCATAAGAAAAGCAAAATCTGCCACTGTTCATAACATTCGTACGAAAACTGATTAAAGTGTCTTTTTTTTTTTTTTTTTTTTTTTTTTCTTTTTTTTTTTTTTTTTCACTTAAACGATGCAAGTAATAAAAATGTTTTTTATGTGTAAGGTGTTTTTGTGTTGCTTGCATTTAAGAATTATTAACTATTTAAAGTTAATTCGTTATTAAAAACTATATTTTTATCATTTAAAAAGTCTTTTTAACATTGTGAAAAATCTCCTGATTTCTTAAAAAAGTCTCCTGATTTTTGAGTGTCATAGGTTGGCAAGTATGGACTTCAAATTAGAACTGATTGAAGAATCTGCTTCGAAAAATTTGTTTCATAAACGAACCTCAGGCATACTTTTGCCTAGTGCATTTCATGATCACAAACGTCAAAAAATTAATGGTCGCAAATGCACTTGTGTTCGATGTAAAGAATTAGGAAAAAAGACAAACTCGGAGAGGTATATTGAAAGTTCTTGGGAGTGTGATATATGCAGAATGTGCTTGTGCAAAAAATGCTTTTAGGCTTCGAATTTCAGTTGCTAAACTAAAAAAAAAGGCTTTTTTCAGGGCCACAAAAAGCCCTTTTCAGGGCCATACAATTTTAGGTATCTAAAATCTCTTATTAATGTCTATTATTATAATCTCTTATCAAGACCGGATTCAGAAATGTATGGATGTATGTGTGTGTTCATGTACGCATGTATATACTGTAAGTAGGAATGTATGTGTGTATATATAGAGACACATATATGCATATACATACACACGTGCATACACTCATATATTTCTGATCTGTTTCCGGTTACAGAACAGTATCCAATTTCAAAAAAGTGAATTGTTTGTCATGAAAACATGTATAAATGTGGAAAGAACAGCAATATGTATATAAACATAGATACATTTATGTATGCATATATCTAGCTACAAATTTATATGAGTGATCATATATACATATGCATATTTACCTATAACATATGAAGAAATAATAATATGCATATATAACTATACTAATGAAAACATGGAAAAACAATGACATTTATAATCGCGCTTTGAAACTCATACAATAAATAAAATCACAAAAAGTCTATAAACTAAGGTTTATTCCTCACAAAAATAGGATCAAACAACTGATCAACAAATGAAAAGATCCTCATTATTTTTGGAAAAGGAAAAACAAAGTGAAATAAACTGAAACGAAAAATAACGCACCACATTAACTAAACAATAGCAACTTAACGTAAAAAGAAAGAAAGTACATGAAATTAAATCTTAATCCTCTATTCAATAAAAGAAAAAAAAAGAATAAAT